TGGGGTGTGTGTGTGTGGAGGGGGGGGTGTAGGTTCTGGAGATGCTAATAATCCAGTTGTCAGGAATGGCTGAGATGCAGTTGGTCCTGCAGGAAAAGAGGATGCCTGCAACTTGACCCAAGATTTCATTTTTCAGACAGGGTGGTAGTGGGCTTCCTCTGTGAGCCTGCAGACTAGCTTTGGCTAGGGTAATCTTAAAAATTCGCTCCTTAAACTTTGGTGACAACCTGCAACCAAGAAAGGAAATTTGGTTTTCCTTTCTTTCATCACTTGAGCTTAGATCATCTCAGCTGTAAATTAAACAAGGAGAGACATTTAAGATTATATTTTTGGGGCTGCCAATTAGCTCAGTTGGTTAGAGCACAATTCTCATAACACCACAGTTGCCAGTTCGATCCCCACACCCTCCACAGCTAGATTGAAACAACTACTTGACCTGTGGCTGATGGGTCCTGGAAAAACACACTGTTCCCCAATAAAATTTTTAAAAACTAAAAAAATATTATATTTTTACTGTCATCAGTTTCTTGACTCTCTGCCACAACTGTTCAAAAAGCAACTTAATTTACACTGCATTGGCATGTGAAAGGACAGTATTCATTGAAAATCTTTTTCATATTTACAGTTTTCATTTATATAGCAAGTAGTAGTAGATGCTTTTTTTCAGCCAAGAACAACCTTCCATTAAATTAATTCAGCTGTGTTGAGTATTTTACCAATGAATACCAAATCTTGGAAAAATATGTAAACTGGAGACAGAGCACGAAACATTAAGGGCCTAATTAAAGAGTAACACTTTGAAATTTTACATAATGAGACAGAGGTACTTTTCTTTGTAAAATTAGAAGGTGTTCTCTTCATGTAAATATAACTAGCAAAAAGTTCTTTGATCATGTTCTTTCTTGAAAATTAACTGGAGATATTTGGAAAAAGAAAGTTCTGTTTGTATCCATTCTTGGCAAAAGGCCAGCAATGAATGCGACAGCAAACCCTTTGTTATACGTCATCTCTTGCGCCTGAATTTATTATTTACATGCATAGACTAGTTACGTACGAAATACTCCTTAAGCTTTTCGTTAACAATGTATGTATTATACTTATTTTTTACTTGTACATTCCGATTATAAGTCATATATCTCCCATCTCTATTGACATATATAGAGAAGCATGAAATATTGGGTTGTCGGAAAAGTCATGACGTATTTTTTATTTGTTTTCCATTGCAAAAATACATCATGACTTTTCCGACAGCCCAATATAATTTACAGAAGAATGTGGAAAACTTTTTTATTTTACATTCTTAATGCCCAAGCCAGTGGACTTAAAGCATAACATCATTGTTTCACAGCGTTCTATTGTCATAGTCAGTGTCTTGTCCAGTACAACTCACTGTATCCCTTGATACAGCACTGCCGAATGGAGCATTCTTTGATGCCTTAAATGCCCTTCATAATAATAAAGGGATCGATCCAACATGAGGATATAACCCTAGTAAACATCTATGCACCTAACATAGGCGCTCCTAAATATATAAAACAGATATTGACAGACATAAAGACAGAGATCAACAGTAACACTATCGTAGTAGGGGACTTCAACACCCCGTTGTCACCAATGGACAGATCCTCCAGACAGAAAATCAATGTGGAAACAGCAGCCTTAAATGACACATTAGACCAGCTGGGTTTAACGGATATTTTCAGAGCATTTCACCCCAAAGCAAGAGAATATACATTCTTCTCAAGTGCACATGGAACATTTTCCAAGATAGACCACATATTAGGCCACAAAACAAGTCTCAGTAAATTTAAGAAAATCAAAACCATATCAAGTCTCTTCTCTGACCACAGTGCTATGAAATTAGAGATCAACTACAAGAAAAAAAAAACTGGAAAACAGAGAAATACATGGAGGCTGAATAACATGTTACTAAATAGCGAGTGGGTCAAAAATGAGAGCAGGAAAGAAATCAGAAGATACCTTGAGACAAACGAATTTTCCCTTTTCCGTCTTAGTTATCCGGGCTGGTCAAATAATTTAAAAGACGTAAGACAGGTTAACAGGAGAAAATGACCAAATTTAAATGTGTGTGAACCTATGGGGGGGGTCCATGAGAATGGGGCCTGAGGACATGCAGTTGAGGCTTACTTGCTATCTTGAGCTAAGGAGAAAGCTGGGTAGTGGTTTGGTATTTCAAAGGGGTGGAAGGCCGATTCACATGGAGATGAAAAAACAAATATTTGGTAAACAAATGTTTGCTAGGCCATCTTTAACAATGGGACACAGAGACCACTTTGATTAAATAAGCTTGCTAGGTTCCTCCCTGTCTGTCACACCTAGTTCATATAAAACTATAGTTATCTATGATGACAGCTCCCTTGCTGGAGCAGGTCTTCTTTCTAAATTCTTTTGGGCAATTAAGGGGAAGGTCAAAGGTTCTTCCTGAATCTTTTGTTTTGTTAAAATACCAGCTTAAAATAATATCCCAAAGAGGCATATTTTTAGGTGGCAGACTGCTCCTCTTCAGGGGCTTTTTACTCTTTGGCCTGCAAAAAGAAAACCCTCTTGAATACCAAATACATTTTCATAGTTATCAGTTATGAAATTTTAAGGCTTAAATGGTAATTTCAGTATTAAAAACAAGTATTAAAACCTTGTTTTTAATTCATTCATTCATATTATCTCTCTCCTTTGCTTTCTCCTACTGATTTGGTGAAAAGTAAGCTAGTATTTAGAATGGAGTGTGTCATGAAGCTGCATTCTCACCTTGGGCATCAAAATTGTAATTTTGATAGAAATAAATTGTTAATGAGCCAGAGAATGTAGAGTTTCTCTAATTGCAGGAAACAAAATTGAATTTGGCCTGAAGACATTTCTGGTCATTGTAGTTGGTTTAAAAATTAAGAACATTCACTGATATACCTTGGGTTGTTTTTAAGCTTGCTTTGCTCATCACTGTCAAAAAGAGACATTGAGACCTGCAGGAAACGTCCTTCTCATGAAGGCCCAGATGGTTTATTTTATAGATATGGTGCAGAACAACTTTCTCTGTAGGAAACACGACACCTCAAATATTGATGATGTTATTATGTATTAAGAGAAAGAAAATATTTTCCTAATTTGAACCTTATTTTACTGTAATGATACAAAATTTTGATTTAAATGGCGAGTGAAATGTGCTTTCCATCTCTCTTTCTATCAATTTACAGAAGTGTTCAAAGCCAAGAGAGTCCTAGGATGCAAAAGATGCAATGCCAGTCAGCTCAGGCTCCTGCTGCTGCTTCTGACGTATGTACATCGACAGCCGGAAACTAAAAGCTTGGATCCTTATCCCCATGATGTTGATTCATTTTTTGGGGGTGGGGGGGAATAGGGGGAAGGGAACAGCCAAGTTGTTGTCCTTCAGTCTTACTTGTGGAGGGTGCAGCAAGTTCAGTTCCAAGTCCAGTTGTGCCTCTCAGCTCAAGGTGCCGAGTTCAGTTTTTAGTTGTGGGTGGGCGTAGCCCACCATCTCAAAAAGGCAGCCATGCTCTCACCAGCTGAGCCATCCTGCCACCCGTTGGCAGCTCAGTGGCAGCTCAACTTGGGCGCAGCTCACTGGCCCATGTGGGAATCGAACCAGCGACCCTGTTGCTCAGAGCTCGCACTCTTGAGCAAGCCCTTAACCAACTGAGCCACTCAGCCGGCCCTCAATTTTTTTTTTTACTTTTTTTATTTTTCAATTATAGTTGGCATTCAATATTTTATATTAGTTTCAGGTATACAGCATAATGGTTAAACATTTATATAATTTATGAAGTGATCATCCCCCTGATAAGTCTAGTACCCACCTGGCACTACACATAGTTATTACAATATTATTTACTATATTCTACTTTATTTTATCTATTGGGTTGTTGGAAAAGTCATGACGTATTTTTTCTGTTTTTCTTTTTTTTTTAAAGGTTTTATTGGGGAATTGGGGAGGGGAACAGCGCTGGGGAATCGGGGAAGGGAAACAGACAAGTTGCGGTCCTTTGGTTCTTCAGTCTAGTTGTGGAGGACGTCGCTTCACTGGCCCACGTTGGTATTATTATCATTCAGCACTCTTCCTGGCTGAGGCAGATCGGTCGCCAGCCATTGGAGGGCCACTCTCGCCAGCTGCCAGCCACTCACGGTAGCTCACACCAGCTTCCGGCCAGTCCCTCTGCAGCCTACGCCGTCCGTCGCCAGCGACTCATGGTAGCCCAGCACCAGGTCGAGCTGTTGTTCACCATCTTAGCTATAGAGGGTGCAGCATCACTGGCCCTCAATTGTGGTATCCGAACCGGGGCCCTGCTGCTCAGAGCTGGCGACCCAAGCCAACTCTTAACCAACATGCCACTCAGCCGGCCTTTTCTGTTTTTCATTGCAAAAATGCGTCATAACTTTTCCGACAACCCAATAGCATTTTCCCCATGTCTATCCAATCTATCATCTTCACTGGATAATCTATACCACTTTAATTTTCAAAAAGGAAAATGCAAGATCTCTTAAAAATTAGGCAGAGCACTTTTGACATTAAGCTAACCATGGAGAAAATGTGAGGATTGGGGGATATACTTCTAGATTGCCACCCCCACAATGTACACACATTTCTAGTTCACATAACTATCAGGTATTGCAGCCTACCTTTGAAGCCTACTCTAGGTCGCCTGAAAGGCCATGCTTCTCGTCCCAAATCCTTTAGCATCCTGTTCATGGAGATAATTATGGGATTAAAGTGAATCCAAAACTCCCCTTAAACTTGTAAAAGCATACAAATTGCCTTTCTGTCCCCATGTATGCATTTTCATTTCATCTTTCTTTTTAGTTTCTAGCTGCCTCTCTTGAAAGACTGTCTTCAGGCCTTAGTCCTAATTGCATTTTAAACTGGTATCTTTTTGCTTCCAAGGTCGGGTGGTTTTTTGTTTTGTTTTGTTTTTTCCCAGGCCAATTATCATTACTACACATGATTCTGTCATTTAAGTTTATTTAAGCTCACTGCAATTATATAAGCTAAAACATGAACATGCAAAACGGACATCTTAATCAACATTTGAGTATATACATTTCTATTGAAAATCATCCAGGAAGCAAGGAGCTAGTAATTAAATTGATACAAGGCTATATGATAAAGAGCAGAACAAAGAGGACAGAGACAGAGGTCATATCCCATCCCAATGAATACCACCCCACCAGAATATCTGTGTGTTTTTTTAAAAGAAATTTTATTGGGGAACAGTGTGTTTTTCCAGGACCCATCAGCTCAAAGACAAGTAGTTGTATTCAATCTAGTTGTGGAGGGTGCAGCTCCTTGGCCCATTTGGTGGCAACCTTGGTGTTATGAGCAACCTTGGTGTTATGAGCCTGCACTCTAACCACCTGAGCTAACCGGCTGTCCCGACTCCAAGTCGAGTGGTTGTTTCAGTCTAATTGTGGAGGATGCAGCTCCGCGGCCCATGTGGGAATCAAACCGGCAACCTTGGTGTTATGAGCCTGTGCACTAACTGCCTGAGCTAACCAGCTGCCCCCAGAATATCTTTTTAAGTAATGAAAAGATTGCCACATCCCCAGCAACATCCTGCTTATTTTAAGGAGCACAAAACACAGAGTATTTGAACAGCGAGGTTGCACAATTTCTGAAGTTCAAATGCTGGAATTTGATCTGGATGAGTGTGCTTCCCCAAACAGGTTCCTTGGAGAAAAGTCAGCATGAGTCTATGTCTTAATTTAGTCCAAAACAAACAAGCAAGCAAACTAACAGTCTTTTGGCAGAGATGTAAACGATTTCATTGATAAATCAGGTATTGTACTTAAATGGTATATAAGCAGTGAGCCCCAAACCGTTCAGAAAAGATCCAGTTGTTAAGCAAGTGAAAGTGGATCACTAAATTGGAATACAATGTATGTGATTTAAAGCAGCAAATGGCTTAAGTTGAGGTAGCCAGGGTTAAGGGAATGAGCGCTGGGTTTGAAGTCGCTGGATTCTCTCTCTCGCTCTGCTCCTGACTTGCTGTATGACCTTCTCTCTTTGATACTATGAAATGGGAAGGTTGCACTAGAAGCTCTCCAGGGCTATTTCCATCTCTTTGCTCCTACATATAATAGAGGTACTTTTGCTAATAACACTTTCAATTTTAATCTGTGTTTTAAAAACATAGAGTAGTTCCTAAAAACATGGAGTAACAGCCTCCCAGTTGGCCTTTCCTTGCTCTAAGCCTAGGCTGCATGTGCAGGACCTCTGAAAAAATGGATGGCCCTGTCAGTTGGTGGTACTCTTCTCCCACAGCTGTCCTACCTCTCTGAACCAGCAGGTCAGCATCCTACTAGCACTCTGGAAGGCACATTTTCTTTCCTGCCATGACGATTGGCACACATTTTTATTATGCTTCTGCTTTTAGCACATCTATACCGTGTTTCTCTTCTAAGCTTTTATAATGTAAAGTTTTTATAATATTATAGAAAGAGGCACCTATAATCTCTGCTTGTTGTCCTAGCACTGTTTTTCATGGACTTATTTCATGATGATTTTGTGTTAGGTATTCAATTATTGAAGCAATGTCAGAAATTGTTAGGTGAAATGCATCACAGCTTGTTCTGCCTGTGTTTCCTCTTATTTATATACCTCTTTGACTCCAATTTGAAATGTCATCTTCTCTTTTGGAAATTTCTAGGATGAAGTTGACATTGTAGAGAATAAGAAGTATGGACCACAAGAATGTATTCCTGTAATAAGTATAGACTCCGACACATCTTCTGTAACAAACATATCTGAAGCTAGATTTCCAGGTACGTACATTTGGGCATTTGAATAGGGTCTATCAGAAGAAAAATAGTGGCCTACAGAGGAGTTACAGTTTTTCAAATGAAGATAATGTTCTACTTATAGCGGTGTGAAATCAAAAGAGTAAATTCTAACTTTCTTCATCTTTAAATTTTTTGAGATGATTATTTGAGAGCAATGAAAATGAATATCTCATGAATGGTTCAAGTGCTTGGGGGATAGCATTAGTCCCTCCCATTTAATTTTAATCTTCTAAAGATTGTTGCTAGATCTCAGTCCTTGAAAGAATAGCATCTTACCTTCTCATACTCATGTAGTCTTTTCTGCTGTGGCAATAGTAGTTGCATTCCAAAGAAATCTCTTGTTTTTAAAATTGTGCTATAAAGAGGAATGGCTAGTAAAGGGCAAAAGGGACATCACAAAACAAGTGATATTTATTATGTAAGTTTCAATATTAAAGATATTTCATAAACATAATGGTATTAAAATACAAAACTTAAAGCAGTGGTGGATACAAAATGCAGAGCATGTCCTCTAATTAGCTGATCTTATTATAGATAATTTATATTGTGGATTCTCCCTATATAGAAGTGATACTTCAATTTTTTAAATACTCTAGTTAACAACCTTTCCATTATTTCTGACAATCTCAAACCTTTGTTTTTTTAAAAAAATTTCAAAATAATTGATTTTGGAGGGGAGAAGGCAAAGCCCATTGACCCACAATTGTGATTTTTAAAATGTATAAGAGCAATTTAGTTTTGAACTTGCACACAAGTAGAATTCACTCTTTGAGAGGTGTATCGTTTTATGGATTTGACAAAGGCAAAGAGTCATGTATCTACCACCACAGTGACAAGCAGAAAAGTTCTATCAACCCCAAATTCCTTTGTGCTACCTCTTTGAACTCAAACTCTGTCCCCCATTCTCTGGCAACCATTGATCTGTATTCCATCTCTGTTTTCCTTTTTCCAGAATGTCATGTAAATAGAATCATATAATATCTAGCCTTCTTGGTCTGACTTTGCTAACAAAATGCATTTAAGATTCATCCATGTTGCATGAATCAATGGTTCATTTCTTTTTGTTTGCTGAGTAGTAATGCATCTTATGAATGTGCCACAGTTTTTAAAAATTCATTCATCTGTAGAAGGACATCTGGGTTGTTTCCAAGTTTTTGGTCATTATATACAGAGCTACTATAAACATCAGCGTAGAGATTTTTGTGTGTGAATATAGAATTTTAAAGCACTTGGATAAATTCCCGAGAGTGGGACTACTGGGTCATACGGGAAGTGTGTGTGAAAAAAACTGCCAAACTTTTTTCAAAAAAAGACTCTACCACTTTGCGTTATTTAAATAACGTTCTCCACTTTGCTTTTTGGGGCTGTTGAAAGAGCAGTCATGTTGCAACACCTCCAAGAGCACTTCACGAATTTCTGAGATCTCACATCCTGGGGAACCTAGTTTTTCAGAAGTGATTTATGACCAGGTTTAATTTTTTTTTTTTATCAGTTGGAAGGTACTAAAAGAATTGTATAATGAAAAGACACTTAACACTAATGTGTCCGGGCACCGCTTATGCTTGAGTGAGTATAGGTAAACTCAGACATTCCCTCCATTTCCTTCATTTTCAGATATGAACAGATTTTAAAGTAATTTTTGAATTACTCTTGGTACCTGGTATGTCTAATCCTTAACATGGAATAAAGCTGGACTCTCTTGTTTTTATGACTTATAAAAGGAAATAAACAAATAGAAACCTGTATAATCTCTTTGATAGCATTGGTACTTTTGCTTTTTTGGTTATGAATTTCAGTGTGCTTCTTTTCTTAGGCAAGTCATTGCAGCGTTTTCAATTTAAATATGAGGTGCGTAGTTTGCGTGTTGTGGTCAAAGGAAATGAAGAGGATGAAGGAGAAGAGGAGGACGAGGTGGAAGAGGTGGCTGAAGTAAAAGAAGACGATGAAGGGGAAGAGGAGTACGAAGTGTATGACGCAGAGGATGAGGATGAGAATGAGGAGGAGGATGAGGATGAGAACAAGGATGAGGATGAGGAGGACAATGAGGATGACGATGAGGAGGAGGAGGAGGTTGAGGACGAGGATAAGAATGATGATAAGGATGAGAATAAAGATGAGGATGAGGTAGATGAAGGGGGAGAGGAGGAGGAGGTGGACCAGATGGAAGAGATGGATGAGGTTGCAACACCTCCACAAGAAGAGAACAATGAAGACGAGGTGAATCAGATGGATAAGATGGAAGAGGCGCCACACGAGAGCACCTCATCCTCCACTCAGCTTGCTGACACCATTGCTCAGGTACCTCTGGAGTCTTACCCCACATATTTATCTGGACCACTAACCCTACAAAGCTCCAAATTTCCGCTCTTATGCCCAGTTTCACTTTGAAGAAAGCATGCTCTTTTTTTTTTTTAAAGTGCATCACCATTTCTGTTCGACTGGATTTTTAAACGCAGCTGAGAATCCAAGGGTCCTAGCAAATGGGGAAGTTGGAGGGTCTCTAAGACCAAATCCCCGTTCTCCTCTTAATGAGAAATACACAAAGACACTCTGTTCTTGAGAGAAAGTTTGAGCCAAGTAGGAAGCTTAACACTAAAAAAAGGCAGTATTTTTTTTACCATTGTTATTTTTTTTATTGTTAGTTTCAGGTGTACAGAACAATGCAATAGTTATCCTTTTCACCCTTCGCAAAGAAACGACCCCCTCCCCCGCCTACTGACCTCCCACCCCTGATATCATACTTATCTATTACAATTCCATTGACTCCATTCCCACACTCTACTCCACGTCCCATGACTATATGTATATATAATTATAGTAGACATACATTATTATTCAACATCAGCTTCAGAAATACAGTGCGGTGGTCAGGCCTCTACACCGACTATGACGTGGTCTCCCTAACAAGACATGAGTCCATCTGGCCCCCTAAAAAATATTTACAACATTATTGATTATATTCCCCAGACTGTCTTTTCTATCCCTGAGGCCATATTGTAGTTACCAATTTGTATTATCTCGTCCCTTCCCCTTCTCCTTCATCCCCACCCCCACCCAACTAGCAACCCTCAGTTTTTCCTCTGTTTCTGTTTACATTTCTCACTTATTCCATTTTTTAGAATCCACGTATATGTGAGATCATATGGTATTTGTCTTTCTCTGACTGACTTATTTCACTTAGCATAATGTTCTCTAGTTCCATCCAAATGGTACTATTTCCTTCTTCTTTATAGCTGAGTAATACTCCATTGTGTAAATGTACCATAGTTTCTTAATCCAGTCGTCTACCAGATGGGCATTTTGGTTGTTTCCAAGTCTTAGCTATTGTGAATAGCGAAAATGCAGTATTTTTAAGAGCCATGCTCCTCATCATTTGTGAAAGGATTCTGACCATCTCGAGGGAAGATGACTTTTCTGCCTACCCATACGAATACTTCCCTACCTGAGCTAGGTTTCCCCAATGGAATTCTTATTGGTTAGAAGCATGTCTTTCAGATTGTTAGATATATCCAGACTCCAAATGTTAGCACCAATGTATGGTCCGAGGCCCAATTAACACAGCTGGATCAACTACTCTGTTGCTGCTCTACCTCCAAATTTGTGTGCATAATCACAGATTTGGGTGATCGTCTTTTATATTAGACAGGATTATTAAAATCAGGACTGGCAGCCCAGATAATGAGTTTATGGTGTGTTACATGGAATTGTGTGCATTAATCAACAAGCCTAAGGTGAGTCACTGCATTCCTAATACCAAAGGCATCCTCTTATGAGAAGAACTGAGGGCTGGAAGACAATTGTTTGAGTTTGGCCTGAGCAGTGTGATCTTGGCCACATTCTTGAGTCTCAGTTTCCCCAACTTGAAATGGTCTGTTTGTCTTGCAGGGATTTTTGGAGTGCTATGAAAATTCTTTGAGCTATTTAAAAGAAAATTTCTGTAGAAATCCATTTGATCTTTATGTCCTTATTATTCTAAAAAGTTGTGGCTCCCCTTTCACTGCTGACAGGTTTCTCTTGTCCTTTGAATTAATTCACAATTAAAGTGTAAACATAATTTTTGTTTAAAATTGTCAAAATAACCAGCAATGAGTGTGTGTGGCCTGTCTCTGCATGTGATACCATATTAGGCTTATTTGTGTGTGCCATGGATTGATAGACTAGAGTGTCTCTAGAAGATGGAGACCAGGATGGAGAGGCACTAGAAAAAGTCATATGGTCAGTAGTGCAAGGCACTGGAAAAGGGAGTCTGGGGAGCGACAGGACTGCTTGATCCAAATAGCTGTAGGGCTGTCATGCTCCTGAAGTGGAAGATGTGTTTCCAGTGGATCAAACTAGGGTGGAGAGAGAACAGCTCAGGGCAGGCCACTTTCTGCTGCCTTCAAGGAAACCCTTCTGGGATGAGTTAGGTTGCCTCCCCAGGGGATGAGCCCCTCCCCTTTAATGGAATGGTTTGAGTGAATGCTTGCTAGCTCATCTGCCAGGGACAGCAGAGAAAAGATTCCCGCCTGGAGAAGAGTGGGTGGATGTGATGACCTGTAAGGTTTGTCTATTACAGCCCTGAGTGTAGAGATTTTGTTTAGTCTAATGAATGCCTGCTTTCTTATATGACCACACACACACACACACACACACACACACACGCACACACACTACGTAGTGAAAGAGGACAATTGGACAATCTTCAGTGGGTTAATGATTAATTGTAAATACGTATATAATCTTTTATTTCACATGAGAAAAAGCAACGTGTATGGTTTTTCTCTCTCTCTCTCTTTGATTACTCAACAATATGCTTCCACTAACCATAAGGGTCGAAGGACCACTGTGTGATATGATAGACTGTCTTACACTTGTTCTCCAGCAGTTGCATTTATATGTACTTTTTCTCATCATTAATAGTGAGATTGTGGATTGGGACTATGGCTCTCTAATCTTGTTCATACAACAGTGTCTAGCACAGATCATGGTAAACAACAGTTGTGTCCAGGTCCTACTTATAGCTTTCATAGTTCTTTTCCCAGAATCCCACTTCTTTTCTGTCCCCCTCAGCCAATCACTTGAGAAGTCCTAGCCACTGTCTTATTAATAATTTCTCTCAAATGTGTCCCTTCCTTTCTATGTCTCCATGCCTCTGGTCTGTTTTAGGTCCCTCTTACATCTAGCTAGAAATGACCCACACAGCTCTCTAACCGGCTTCTAACTCCGAGCTTACTCTTTCTGGTCAGCTCGGAAAGCATGTTCCACAACATAGATCTGAGCATGCCACTTCCCCAATCAGATCTGTGTTTTAAAACGCTCCTTTTCAAAGCAGCACAAGGTGGCTGATGAATAAAAGCCAAGTTCCTTGGCCTCCTAGACTTGTATGGTGTGCACAAAGCTTTTTCCAGCTTCCCTTCCACATGAGATTTGCCTCATCCCCCTCTATTCCAGCCAACCGGAAGCATTGCTCTGTCACTGAACACCCTCTCTACTTTTACAAACCTGCCCATTTGCTTATTCCCAGATCTGAGGCTGTTAATCAAGTTACAATTAGATTCCCAGGGCCAAGAGGAGAGTATTGCTCCAAGTACTACAACTGTATGTCTATAAAGTACCTACTTTGTAGGGGGTCGTGAGCGTCAGGTCTGTGAATTTCTGTACAGTGCTTAGAAGAGTGCCAGGAGCAAAGGAAGTGCCAGTTGAGCGTTCTTGCTGCATTGCTGAGGGGCATCCGATGGATGTTTCCCACATGCCTCCTTTGTGATCTGACCTGCTACACTCTGACTTTCTCGCTAAGGACTTTGGGTAGATTGCTTCATGCTTCTGGGCCCATTCTACAGCTTTATGTTTAGGGAGGTGGGAGGGAAATTAGACTGAAATAATCCCCATGATCCAGTTTTGATCTAGAACTCCTGGATTCTTGAACCATTTCTTTCAACTTCCCAGTAATGAATAGAATCAGGATGGGTGTGCCCTTGTTCTCATTCTCAGTCTTTCAAAACTTAGAAATAAAATAATATGGTGGGGTTTGGGGAAGCTGTAGCCCTGTATATGAACCGTAAGCTATTTCTCCCCACAGCTATCACACATACCATTGGAATTTAGAGCATACATCGCAAAACGTGAGCTGGAGCTTACAAATATGTTTAAAGAGCAGCTGAAAGAGAAGACCCAAATGTTTCAGGCTGACCTTAAAAGCCAGCAAGATGCCATGGACAAGATGAAGGAGCAGCTTAAGAAGCTACAGAATCCCAAGTTGAAGGTTAGCGACCAGTTCCATGCAAGTGGGAGAAAGGGACAGTCTTCAAGGAGTAGTCAATTGAGCCTGATAGTAGTGACAACTGCTGCCCCAGGGCAGCACAGAACATCTGGAGAAAGCTTCAGCAGGGACTTAAGGCTTTTTACCCTTTTTCTCTTGGCTGCAGGAGCTGAGAAGGGCCCAGCAGGGCTCTGACAGTGGCAGATGAGGCTTATATGTAACCAGAGCTTCCTGTGGGCTTGCCTGTAGGCAATCTCACTCCATGCCCAGCATAGCATGTCTTGTGCCCTAAGGAAAGGTGTGGCCCCCAAATAAGACCTTTGTGATACTTTGTCTTTACAGGCGCTGGTAGCCCCATTAAAACGCACTGGCAATTCTCAGTCCAAGTCCTTCGAACCGCTGTTCAAGAAACAATGCACTGACAGAGTGAACGTGACGGAGTTCTTATACCCAGATCTTACTGTGTCCAGATATTTCCATGAGTCATGTTCACCTCAACCTTTGAAAAGTCCAGAGGAGCTTGGGAAGTCTGGCAGTGCCTCCACTCAGGTATGGAAAACCTGTTTCCAGTGTGTAGATGAAAGGGAATTTCATTTTCATGAAAATCTGGGCTCGCCTAGTTCTGCTAAGGGGGTAATGACTACTCAGCTGGATGCAATTCATTTGCCTGAGGCGATAAAAAAATCTTGGCTAACTAGACCTGAACACACATGCACACACATACATGTACACTGGACTGTAGCTTCTCATAGCCAGGAGCATGTCTGCAGCTAGTGCTCTGCCAAACAAGGAGACAGTCACCCAGACCCCTGTGCCCAGAGAGGCAGGACTACTGCTGCCTTCTGCTTTGGGAGAATGGGGAGTGTTTGATCAATTTCTGGGGGGCTCTTGTAGACACTGACTTACTGGGGTCTCTTTACTTTTGATGCAGCAGCATCTGCAGTGTAACGTCATTAGGGGAAACCAGGCACTGCAAATATGTTGGCCAAACCAAGCTGGCCTCTCCGAGCCCTTCTCTGATGACTCAATTCCTTTCATGCAGACCCAGCCCCTCGTTGGTCCTCTCCAGTTAGTAGCTGAGCAGCAGTCCTCTGGCTACTATCAAGATGAAAACCTTGGCGGCCAGAAAGAGGAAAGTCGCGGGTAAGAAGTGCATGAAATGGTGATAAGGGCTACTACAGTCACTGCTCTGTCCTTGTGGCTGGACACCATGCCTGAGAATCATGGGCAACTTGCCCACAGGGCATCAAAAGCCCCCTCATCAAAAGCAGCATGCTCCGATGCATCTTGCTTTGTGGCCGCAGGTCCCCTGCCCCTGCGTGCACAGTGCATGGCGAAGCATGCATTGATGGGACTGAGGCGTCTCCCATGACACAGGAGGACTAGATGAGGAAGCCTCCCATCTAGGGAATTAGCATGTAAATCTTGAATCAGCTTGGCTTCATCCACCCGGGTTCAGTCTCAGGGCACAGGGTGTTAAGAGAAGTCCTAAGTGCCCACAGCTAAATAACTCCTGGCCCCCCAGTTCCCTTCTCGCACTGATGATCACAGTAGACCGGGTGAATGGTCGGCCTGGCTTTGACGATCTATATGAAGGAAGTGGGCATGAAACAGTTGCCATTGGATGCCTAAAGAGCCAAGAACACAGAAGGGCTAAGTCCTGCGAGACAGTTCTCTGCCCATAGCCCAGGACACGAACACATGTTTGGCTCAGTGATAAAGACGTTGGTCCCAAATGGCAGAAAGAGAAAGTTGTGCTCAGCAATGACGGGGCTGCGTAGCACATACTTGGTGCCCCATAAACAGTTTTGAATGAATGCCAGCTATCTGAGCAGGCCTGCCAAAGCTCTGTGGGTTTCCGCCTGGACCTTCTTTTAGGATCAAAGGTGGGTCAGTGCCATGTTTCCCCGTGGCCTGATCAACAACCTGAGGAGGCTGTTGAAAGTGAAGACGTGGAGTCTGGAATGGGGCTTAGAAGTCTCTATCACATGACCGACCCCCAGGCTTAGGGCTGTAGAGAGAGCACTGGACTTGGAGTAAGGAAATCGACCTTGCAGCCCCTCTTAGCGGCTAACTTCTTTAGTGACAAAGGGCAAGTCACTGGCTGGGATAGGTGAAATGACTTGCACGAAGCCACAGAGATCAGTATCGTGGCACAACCAGGATTGTCCAAGTAATATAAATAAAACCAACTTGAAACAAACGACTATAATTTACCTCAATGTTTAGATCCGCTTTACTTTGGCAAATCAAGTCTTCCTCAGGCCAAAGTGAGAGTACAAAAAAGTGAATCCTAAAGTATAACTATTGCACTGTGTTGTACAGCTGAAACTAATTCTAAAAAAATGTGTATTTCATAATAAAAAATAATTAAAAGAAAAAAAAAGCTAATGAGAAGGGTAATACATAGAAAAGGGCCAGAATCATACTTTGAGATTCAGACCGCAGGATTATGTTCAAGTCCCAACCCCCAGTACCTGTGAATGTGACATCATTTGGAGATAAGGTCTTTGAAGATGTAATCAAGTTAAGAGCATAAACTTTGAAGTAAAATGAAAGGCTTGGGTTAAAAAAAAAAAGTGAATCCTGATTTAACCACCAAAAACAAATGTGCCTTAAGCACCTACTGATGAGCAAGACAGTGTTTCCTGGGCCACCATTTCTAGATCCATGTCACTCTAACATGTATCTTCTTTTACAGTTTTTTTCCTAAGGACCAGCAAGGGTCCTCCATGAATCCACTGGCACTGGCACTTAACCCAAACTCCGAGACAACTTCTGCCAGCAGCTCTCCATCTGCTGTTGCTTCTGACACAAATGTAGTCAAGCTACAGATCCCACAGGAGTATTGCCAAATTGGGCAGCAGTTATCGACTCCACAGCGTCGCCTCTATTTGAAACTGAATACTTGGCAATCCAGTGAGACTGTCACCATGCAGGACCAAGCCACCCAGCCACAGGTATACCAGCCCCTTCTCCTCTGCCCTCCAGCCCAGGCCAGGGGTTCTGCACGGAGGCTGGGCCCCTTCCCCGTAAGGTGCACACCATGGGTATATGCTCCGTGTATAAAATCCAGACTTCAAAGCTCAAAAAAATTGAGGACAGTTACTCACATGGTGTTGCACTCACTTATCTTAATAGAGCCTAACCTCTCTTTTTAAAAAAACTAACAACAAGAAAACACTAAGCTAAGGCAAAATGAAGGAGTTTGGATATTTGAAATGGCTAAGGATATGATTCATTTCACATGCACATCCTGACCAACTGGGCCACCAGCCCTCTAGAAAGTTGATCCGTTAGAGGGACTGCCCGCTCAAAAGATCAGATGGTCCGTGGGCCCTGTGGTTCGGTTACCATGCCAGACTCTGCTGAGACCCTTCCTCATGGCTGCTCTCAAGGCACGTACCCTCGGGATGGGCCCTAAGAGGCAGAGCTGAGACAAAGCTGAGCACATATCCCAGGGAAGTGGGGAAGGGAGGATGCCGGGAGGGTGTGCAGATGGGAGAGCACAGTGGAGCAGCCATGGGCAGGACTGTGTGGGCGCTTCCATGGCTACAAGACTTCAGGAGCTGCCCACATCCTGCCCTGGCGCATCTCCACTGCCTTCTGGGCCCTTCCTTTCCCCAGGTCCCCAGACACCTCCAGCTCTCTGCCCAGCCCTGCTCCTTCTGTTTCCGCTGTCTTCTTCTCTACCCTCTGGTGTTCCACTTGTTGAAATCTTGCATCACCTTCAAAATCCAACCCAAAGGGGCCCCTCTTTCTCCCACAGCACATTCTTGGTAACACTGCTTTTTGTATTTGTCCCTCCTTCCCCCCCTCCCCCTCCCCCCACAGCCCAGAGTGAGTTGTTACCTCTCCTGTCACATTGTTCAAGCGGGCCAGGTAGCTGCCAATCAGGCACAGCATGAAAGTCTCTTAGTCCCAGCAGAGTAATGACAAGTCCAAGGGTAGGGGTGGGGACAGAGCTTCCAAGTCCTTGGCTAGCCATGCCTTGCAGGGAAGCTGGGCTGGAGAGAGCCTGACATGGGACCCAGTAGCTTTAGGCATTAAAACAAGTTTGGGGGAGCCCAGACCTGCTTCTGCTGGTCGTTAACCCAAGATGCTGTTGGGAGAGAAAAGTGGGGAGGAACACAATTTCCTCCAGCTCCACCTTCTACAAGCACCTTATAGACTTGGGTTCCAAAGAGGTACTTTTCAATACCTTGCTGACTTGAACTACAGGGTCCTCCCACTGTTGTAAAATGGGCCCAGGAACTCGAGCAAAGGCCTCCTCTACCTTGTTCGCCTTTTCCCCAACAGGTGCTAGCTTCTGAGGCAGAAGCCCAGGAACGCTCAGAGCCAAAAGCTTCTCAGGACCCTGCTGAAGATTCATCAGAGCAAGCGAGCTGTTTCTTGTCTGGCACGCAGCCTGACCTGCAGGAGGAGATGCAGGAGCCGTGCCGTGATACCAAGCCTTAAGAGAAGAGGGGGGAAGAGGCTGATGAAGCCTATATGACCAGGGGACCTCCAATGCTGAGTCCCCTGGGGTAGCGGGTGGGACCCGTACTTGTTTTCTGTTTTTCTCTTGAAGTTCTGTTTGTAATTTTTAGTTGAGCACAACATGTTTTCTCAGAAGTCATGCTGCAGACGTAGCCTGTGAGCCCTTAGTGTGCTAGTGTGTGACAGCAGGCAGGCCACGGCAGAGGACCGTCATCATATACTTTGCCCAGCCTTACGTGTACCTGTTCTACCAGGAGTAGGCAGGCTGCACAGTCTGCTCAAGTTAGAATACCCTTTTTCTGCCAAGAAATATTTCCAGCATGGTTTGCAATGTAGTGAGAAACGGTTCTATTTTAAGCCACAAGAATTCTTTGACCGTTAAGCCCTGTGTCTCCCCCATAGTCTTGTAGGGGGAACCCATAGGGAACAACATTCCAACTCTGGAAAACTGAAATCAGGTCAACAGAGGTGCTCTAAGCTCAACTAATAACATGTTTCCTGCTAAATAAAAATTGTCTTTGAACTTATGACTGACTTTTGTATCCTAGAAATGGTACTGACTCAGCTAACCAGGCGCCAAGGTCTTGAGTGAAGGGTTGATTTCCTGGCCTGGTACCCCTTGTGCGTGACCTGCTCCCCTCAGCCTCTCATTCGCACCTCAGCTCCCCACCACACTTGCAGAGGCTGTTGGCTCCTGCCTTCCCAGGTGGCTGTTCGCCCAGGCCTTCGGTGTAGCTGAAGCCTGCTGCTCAGTCATTGACAGCGAGGGCAGCCGCACACCCACCAGGCCCACAGCAGCTGGCCTAGGGGCTAGCCAGTCTGTAGACTGTGCTCGCGCCTCATTCCTCCCCTCAGAGGCGGGCATGGATGCTAAAGGGCAGGGTGCCCATCCACTTTGCACGCAGGTTCCTTCTCTCCTGCCTTAACCTTTTGGGGGGCAGGCGTACTCCCTGCGGGGAAAGTGATTAAGTGATGTGCTCTCTGGTCAAGCACAAAGGAGAGCATCTTCCCAGCTCTCCACACTCCCTGGGCAGGCAGCTGAGGCCCTGTTCTGCTTCAGGCACGTCATTTAAGTTCTCTGGGCCTCAGTTTCTCCATCGGTAAAAAAGGAGGGAGGAGGAAACAATGTCTTTTCTACCTAGCTCTCAGAGATGAGGCTAAGTGGAATGGCAGCACTGAAAAAGTCTTTGGGAAAGGTGCTGCAAAAGCTGACTAGGCTCGAGCCATTCCGTAGTGATTATTGTTTGAATTCAGTGTTTAGAGTGTGCCTGGGCTGAGATTTGTCTGATCTAGTCCAAGTTATGCTGGCTTCAGCACTGCCTGGGTTTCAGACAAGGATCCTGCACTGGGAAGTCTGTGGTCACCTCAGGCTATGCCTCAATGCACCGCTCAGCGTCCAGCTCAGCCCCAGAGCCAGGTTGCCAGAGGGTCAGAGGGGCAGGCTGCCTGGGCCTGCTTCTTCCCAGGGATCCCCTCAGGGGTAACTGCAAGGACACCCCATCTTAGGATGGGGGACATTTGGGAATACAGGGGCCAAAGGTCAGAAGCAGTGCTTACACGCAGGCTCATCCAGTTGTGAGTTTGCTTTGTGTATTACCGAAGTCAAACCATGGTGAGTGTGTTCTCTGCAGCCTCTCAGGCAGTTCCGAGCCCAATCCCTGCTCCGAGAAGACTGGGCACAAGACAAACTTCCAAGGCCACAGGTCAACCTGGAAATAGCTATGGCTGTCCCTGGGGTCTGTGCAAAACTTCTCCAGGAAGCTCTGAAGACACTGTAGCCCATACTACAACATGTCACCAGGGAGCTCTTCAAATGCACCCTGCACCTGGAACTACTCAGGATAAGTGTTTTCTGTCTATCACCCTCCCTCCTGGCCCCACACGCTGTACACATAGTGCACAGCTCACACAAGCCATCTCGTCTTTACTTTTGGGCTCTGCTCTGGTGTGGGAGAGACAGCAGATGAGCTGATCTCGGGGGAGGGGTTGGGCTGCAGAAGTCAAAGGCAGAGCTGGCCTTGCTCCTGGGACGCCACGCCCAGTGCCCCAGCCTCAGTACCTGCCGCTTCTTGGGCAGCCCCTGAGAGACAGCCATGTTCCGCCCCAGGCCTTGGGCACAGTGGCCCACATACTACTCAGTGGCAGAGCACGTGGCTTGGGACACAAGGGCTGCCTGTTCCCAGAGTTTCCCGACCTTGCTGTGTGCCTCTACTGGGACAGCTGTGGCCTTGCCCCTCACCCCAGCTGCCTGGCCCACACCAGCGTCCCCCTTGAGCGGGAGGTATAGCCACAGAGGGGCTGGCGATCGTGTAGACACAGGGTTCCTGCAGCAAGAGCGGGCCCAGACACAGTAGATCTAGAAGCCTCCGGCCCGGGCCTTCCCTCCTCGGCACAGCCACCAGCAGCCCCAAGATTCAAAGCGGCAGCCCCTAGCAACACTGTCAGCGACGCGCCCCTTGCCCAGACCATCATCTCCTTGTGATTACCCCATGAGACTTGATGGTGGCTTGGTGTGAATTTGTTTACCCCTCTGGCATGTCTGGAAAAGCACGGGAGCTACATTTCTCTTTGGGTTGGTGGGCGGAGGAAGTTGGAAGAACACGACAGAGGTGCCCCGGCTGCCACACATGGCAGAGCTTCCAGACACGGCAGCCGCAACCCCCTGTCAGCTCATTCCCATGTAGGCAGTACAGTTCCCTCATTGAGCAAGTCTCAGTCTGGATGTCATAGAATATTCCATGCACAGGCTTAACAGCTGAATATTCATGTGTTTTCTATGGCATCAACATTTTATAAATGTTACTATTCCCAAATGCCGGTGATGATAAAGAAGGAAGCGTGTTATTAAAACTGCCAGCCCCAGTCCATGCTCTTCCTCGACTCCATTTGCAGCAGACAGCACAGCTAATGCCCTCTGCGGTATCTTAACTGTTCCAAGTATTTTGGAGACGCTGACAGTGAAGGCAGATTTGCAATGTTCTGGCGTGTGAGTGTGGTTCACCTCTACCAAAATCACTGGAAAGGAGAGGTTGAGGGGAAAATGTCAGGCAGAGGCGAAGTGGGTAAGGTGGGCACGGGAGCTCAGAACTGCAGCTTCTCTTACTAGGGTAAGAGGAGGCAGTCAGTCCTCCAGGACCGGAACTTGTCTCCAGCTTCTGGAGGGAGCACAGTAAATGCCATCCCCACCTCTCAAAATGGACTTCAACAGCCTCAATGGAAACTGGTTTATCGCTAAGACCCAATTCAATGTTCCTCAGGGGATATTAAATAGTTGGGATGCATTTCTGTTCTCACGGGCAAGCAAGATGATGTTGAATGGTTCTCCATTGGTTATCAGATGAAATCCAAGTTCTCAGCCTCACTTGATCTGACCTCCCCCTTACTCCATAGCTGCATGTCCCTCTTCCTTTCATACGTTCTGCCCTTAGCCTCGCTGGACCTTTGGATTTGACACAAGCCCTGGCCTTTCTGCCCTCATGTACCATTCCGTACACCCGGAATGTCCTTCCATTTTGTCTCTGCAGTTCCAACCCTTGCCCATGATGCAAAGCCTGGCGCAGAGGCTCCCTCTGCTCCATGCCTCTCCCCATCGCACCGCCTCTCCATGCCTCACTCAGAGCACCTATGTATCTGTTCAGCTCCTGCCTCACTTGTGGCATCGCCGCTTCTAGACTGAGCTACAGCGGGCAAAGCCTGGGGCAGGTCTTTGAGGCCTCCGTACCACAACACCTTGTAGACGGAGCCTTCTCTCTACAGATGTTCCACGAACATCTTTGTAACCGAGGTCCTTAGAAGTCACCTGGAAAATGTTGCACAAATTAAAATAGCTGCTTGAGGCAGGATCACCCCATGGGAAGTCAAGCTGGTGAGGCCATCGAGCCTTCTTGGGCAACCTCCCAGCAGCTTGGAGGGGCCAGGCAGGCCCTGGGGCCGAAAGGTAGCCCACTCCCCCAGCCCTGGGCCCCAGGAAAGCCTGGCTCCTCCGCTCACCCTCTATTTAGCTTGGGTATATGTGTTCTTAAGCTTCTCAACATTAGCCAGTAACGTGGCTTCTTCCTCAGGGAGGGACTCAGAGATGAGGGTGCACACAGCCTGCTGAAGTGCCCTGCAGTGGGGGTACAGGCCTGGCCCCTGTACTGCCACTTCCTATGGGACAGTGGGGAGGAGGGTGGATAAGAGAGCAGGATATAAGTCAGGGAATGCCAAGCACCACATGTGAGTGGGCAGGTGTCCCTGGCAGTGTCTCCGATGAACGTCTGCATATCCCTTTGTGGCCAGCCAAAGGTGGGAGCACTGCAGGGAGAGTGAGAAGGAGGATGGGGAATTGGCGGTGACGACTAAGTGCCAGGAGGCCCGAAACTCTGGGAGCCATGGATGTTTCCTGCCCAGATGGAGGCCCTGACCCTGAAGGTCAAAGGGTAATTGACCACATGGTCACCTTGTTGATGAAACAAAACCCACAACCCCATGGAATCATAACATGTCAAAGGCATGGAGGCAAAGGTCAACAGACAGGACAGACAAATTGTAGTCCTTAGAATCACACACACAAGTGTTTATGTTATTTGTTTAGAGTTGTACCCTCAGCTGGCGGGGAAGGTAAGTTCAGTGCAATGGGCGTGACTTCAGCCGAGAACTGGGCTCAGGTCTCTGGGTAAGAGCTCGGCTCACGAAGAGATTTACACCAAGAATCTTGGAGCACGTGTCCCGCTAGGAAAGCTGCTTGCAGAGAGGGGTGTCTGTGGATAGCAGGGGACCTGGGCAGGAGGTGAGGCCACCCAGTTTAGTGCTGCTCCTTTATTTATCCTCTTCCCCTTACCTGCTTGCAGACAATGCCCACCGGTTTCCATACGGGATGCGGTGCCAAGCAGGGCAACACACTGAACTTCTGTTTTAGATTTCTACCTGCTACCCACTTGCGCTGAAACCTTGAGCAAATCACTTGAGGTCTCTGTGTCTCTGCCGACTCTCTGGAATAATAGAGGCAAAGATGAGAGGTCTGCTCTAGATGAAGGAACAGACGAATGAATGAGCAAATAAATGTCAGTCTGTACCCTGCCAGTCTGGCCCCTGTGCCCCAGCTTTAATGGAGACACAGAGATGGGTGCCTGGTCCCTGAGAAGATCAACATACTACAGAGACCAGCCGCCTCCTTGTTGCATTCACCTTCCCCTCCGCTCCTGCCCTGATCTTTTCTGCTCAGCTTACATGCATGCTCAGGATAGCAGTCCCCTGGAAGCCACCCTTCAGACTCACCTCCTCCTTTGACTGCTTCACTTTCTCCTTCCTCAGCTCCCAGCTCCTGCTGGGAAGTTATCCATGACTTCCAAACCTCAGTACCCGACCCTTGCACTCTCCACTGGCATCCCCACCCTTGGATCCCACTGCATACTGGACATCTCCCAGCGGTGTCCTCTGAACATGTCAACGTCAGGACAACCAAAACCAGGCTCTTCGGCATCCCCTGAAAGTGGCTCCCCTCTCAGGGACAGGTAC